TTTCATATGCCTGTTGGCCATCTGCATTAAAGATGGAAATTTTTATTGAGTCACAATTAATCCTAACTTTTTTCAGTGTCCATATATACAGGAAAACATTCCTGTATGTTCTTAGTTAAACTTTTGCATATGTAACTTCTAGGTATCCAGAATATTTAGTTTCCCCTTTGGTCAAATTAGCAGTTTATTTTATTCTACCTATTCCCATTATATTATTTCAGAAATTTTTATTTGGTTGACTAAAGCAGGAAAAGTGATAGGAAAGGAAACATAGAAAATGAAGATTGAATAATTTGGAGTACCATTAGACAATCTTCTTACATCCTTAGTAAATTGGAGCCTCAGTTCTTCACTTCCTTCCTATTATAAAATTATAAAAATGCACTTTCAGTAGGGAACTTGGTGTAGTATATACATGTTAATGTTTAACGATGCACATCTGAACCCTACTCGATGTTTATTATGAAATGTTACTTCAGTAGAGTAATAACAAAGCCGTGGTAATGGAAAAACTTAAATGTCCATTCCTTCTGCTGTGCACCTTTGCACTAGCGCCCACCAAAATGACCAGATGCATTTCCTTGACCCAATGATGTCATTCTTGGCTCTGTGACTTACTTAGGCTAGCAGAATGTTACTGAACAGAGGTCTTAAGTATGCTCCTCTGGCATTTACTCAACTTCCTGCGCTCCTGTGGCCTAGCATGAGGAGAGTATGCCCATGTCGTCACTGCCCTCTCCGTGACCAAGCCCAGTGCTGAAAACACATTGGAATAATTTTGAACATAATGTCAATCTTTAGACCTGTGAATATAAGTCAATGTTGTAGACTACTGAAATTTTGCTAGTTAATCAAGGAAAACTAATATGTTCAAGTTCTGTGAAGAATTATTAGTACTTTACTTTAACCAGATATTTTTTGTTTTTTCTCTATTGCTACAATGAGTTCAAGCACAATTTATAGGACAGAGAAGATGGAGGGAAATATTTTTAAGCAGAAAAGTAAACTAGGGCATCCAGATTAGACTAATTGCAGTATTATTCCTTAAGGAGTATTATTGAATTCTAAAATTATCAGCTGAGTTTTAACATGGAACATTTCAAGTGAAAAGATGTACTTCAGTAAACTGAATGTATTCTTCTAGCTATAGTACCTTTTAAAATGTCTAATACCAACTTTTATTAACAAAAGAATGCCTGAGGTAGGGAATTACACTAATGGGATGCCTCTTTGTAAACTTGTGAGATACTTAATTCCATCTAAGTCAGTCCCAAATCTATTCATGAAGGCCCAAAGATTGGAAACCTATTATGAGAGAAAAAAGACTTGAAGAATATATTTAGGGGGAAAAGAGAAATTAGCACAGTAAAAGAAAGAACCTAGAGACTAGTGAGAAGAAAAAAGAAAAAATATTCTGGTAAAAATTCTGAAATCCAGTGATAGAAATAAATCCTAGATGTTTGCCAGCAGGAGTTAGGGGAAAAAAGAATCTGTACATCAGAAGTAGGGGAAAGTGGAGAGACAGTACAGATTGAAACCCAGGTTGATAACCTGTGGACCTGCTAATGCATTTGTTGCAAAGGAATGTAATGGGAAGAAATTAGTGATTTCTAAACTTCTAATTTGAATAAATATGTGAGTACTACATAATATTTTTATTGAAGTAAAAATGTAACCATTTTAAAGTAATATTTCAGTGAATTTTAGTACACTTACAATGTTCTATGACCTTCACTGCTATCTAATCCATTACCCCAGAATGAACCCTGGCACAAATTAAGCAGTTTCTATTCCTTCTCCTTCCTAGTCCTTACAAACCACTACTCTACTTTTTTTTTTAAGATTTATTTTGATTACTTATGCATACAAGAATTGGGGTCCAGGCCAGAGGTGCAGGGAGGTGAGAGGATCCACCAGAGATAGAGTGGGGAGCAGAAAAGGCAGATTGATGAAGAATACTGCTGAGGGAAGCAGTGGGAAAGATAGGAGAAGTCTGCTGCACAATGTGGGTCAGCTCCCTGGCCAGGGATTGAACTCATGAGGCAGTGCCTGCTGGTAGCTTGATAGCACTGAGACTATAACCCCTGTGCCACCAGGGAGGCCCCTATTCTACTTTATTTCAGAGTTGCCTCTTCTTAACATTTTGTACAGATATAATCATTAAATATGTGGACTTTTGTGCTTGACTTCACTCAGCATGTTATCAAGATTTCTCTGCTATATATGAATCAGGACCCTATTCCTTTTATTGCTAAATAATATTCCATTCTAATATATAAACTGCATTTTGTTATCTATTCACAAGTTTTCATTGACATTTGAGTTGCTTCTGCTTTTTCACTATGAACACTGTGGCTATCCACAGTCATTTTCAGGTTTTTCTTGAAAACCGGTTTTAACTGGTGTGGGATGGCTAGGGTATTGACAATTCTGAGTTTAACTTTTTGAGTATCCACAAGCCATTTCACCCAGCAGCTGTACTACCTCATATTCCTACCAGCAGTGTAGGACCATTGTAATTTTTCCATGTTCTCACAAAAGGTTCTCACCTTTTGTCATTAATTAAAAATTTTTTTTTAATTTTGGAGTTATAGCTTTAATGTTCCACATATCCACATGTTCCACTCACCCTCCACCAGGCAACCATTCCCAGTATCCCCTCTGCCTCCCTTTTCTGTCCGCCTTCCCCCCCCCTTTCTCTAGTAACAAATTCTTTTACTGAAAGTTTTGCCTGTGTATGTTGGTTGTCCTTTTTTTTTTTTTTTAATAATCATCCTATTGGGTGTGAAGTATTATCCCTTCGTGCTTTGAATTTGCATTTCTGTGATAACTAAATGATGTTGAGTTCTTTTCATTTGCTTATTGACCATTTTGTATATCTACTTTAAAGAAATCTCTGTTCAAGGTCTTGCCCATTTTTAAATTATTTCATTTGTCTTTTTGTTGAATTGTTTTAGACTTTCATCAGATACATGATATACAGATTCCCCCCCCCCAATCTGAGTCAGTTTTCGCACTATTATTGAAGAAATTAATCCTCTCCTCTTTGTGTATTCTTATTGAAGATTAGGTGGCCATATATATGCAAATTTATTTCTCGGTTCTTTACGTTGGTGTGTCTGTTTTTATGCTAGTACTAAGTTGGTTTTGATAACTATAGCTTTGTAATATAATTTGAAATCAGGCAGTGTGGTATGTCAGCTTTGTTTTTCTTTTTTAAGATCATGCTCTCTATTTAGGGTCTTTTGTGATTCCATATGAATTTTAGATTTGTTTTCTCTATAAAACAGCACTGGAATTTTTATAGGTATTTACATTGATACTGTAGATTGTTTTGAGTAGAACATTTTTACAATATTAATTCTTTTATTCCATGAACACAGAATGTCTTATTTGTTTCTTCAGTTTCTTTCATCAGTGTATAGACCTTTTACTTCTGTGGTTAAATTCTTTCCTAATATTTTCATCTTTTTGTAGTTAAGAATAATACTTTAAATTTAGTGCCTTATCATTCTGTAATATATATCCCCTGTAAAAATACTTCTTATGCATGATTTTTCTGATTTTTTTTCATTTCATCTGATCTTTTTGTTGTTGTTACCAAAAGGCTAAATAGTGTATTTGGCAATAACTTGAGACCTGTGATGATAGTGTCTTCCTCTAAAAAGATTTTTGTTTATGGCAGACACTAGGAATCCAAGATTGCCTTAATTTTGTGGTCACCATTTAGAGCTGAACTGAAAGGGGCGGTGGTGTTTGGGCTCGTTTTTATTCCTATAGTGTAGCTCTTGGGCTTCCAAACAAAACTGTTGGAGTTTTACTGGCTTCTCCTTCAGTTCTTGGTTTTCTCCTGCATTCCAGTATTTTTCCTTCCAGCTCTCTGAAGCTTCTTATCCTCTCATTTGTCACTAAGTAAAAAGTTGCCTGATTACAGGCTGCAGTCTTATCCTTTTAATTCTTCCTCTTGTTGTTAACCCTCCACTGTTTTGGAGATGTGTGTGTGTGTGTGTGTGTGTACACACATACATACATTTTTTCAGGAAATTTCTAGGTTTGCCAGAATATACTATTTTTCTGATTTCATTTATCAGCCTTTTCATGTCAGATTAACAGATGGAGACATTATGTAATTTTAGGATAATAGGAACTTGATAGTTCAAACTACATCTATATAAAGAGAAAGAAAGCAAGAGAGAGAAGCTAGAAAAATATATATGTGTGTATACATACATATTCTTAGTTTTTCTTAGGGACAAGTTGGTGTAAAGCACATACTCTACCATTACCAGAAGTGGAAGTCAACAAAATACAAGTGGAAACACACAGCAAAGGACATAATCTTTTCGGAAAGTTAGAGCAGACCCAGAGATCACCATGTAATAATGTCAGTCTTACCCACTTATATTTTTATACACATTCTTGGGGAGAGGGTGAGAATTAGAGCTACTGTGTGGGGTCTAGCAGTTGCATGTGTCAAATTGTCAGCCAGTGAATGCCTTTTCTTATGTGTATCTTATGGGGAAGAATTAAAGACCATTGAAGACTGTATTGCTCATGAAACCATGAGGCCTTTATAAGAAAGAATCCAATTTTACTTATGTCCAGTTTCCTAGTGTTCCGGGTGGAGTAAGTGTATCCAAAGTACAGAAATGAATGTATATGTTGAACGTATATTATTTGTCTTTTCACAGTAAAAACCACTATCAGAATATGCCATACTGAGTCATCCCAAAAGATACAGTAGAATAGAGAAGGAAGTCTTTTTTCTCACCAGCTCTTTCTTCCATCCTCTGCTAACAGGTGGCATCTCCACAGAAAGCGACTGTGCCTTTGAGCCAGACTATGCCGCCCCCCCACTTCCGGTGAGCGAAGGTATGCAGCACATTCGGATCATGGAGGGCCTGTCCCGCTCTCTCCCATCCTCCCCCTTACTCACACATCAGTCTATCAGTGTTCGGCTCCAGCCTGTGAAGAAGTTAACTGGTAAGGACTTCCTCAGTTTGGTATGATTATCGGGAACGCTAACGGTACAGCACTCTCCATCCTACCAGGGATGTTTGTGCGTCTCGAGGCTTGTCCTCGCTGGTCTTCTAGTGTCACTGGCCCTTGGATAGTGAGCTCCTACTGAGTTTAATTTAGAAAATTAGGATCAGACTCAGTTTGACAGATTGATGTATTTATTTTCTAAATGATCCATCTGTTGTGGACATGTTTTTCTAGGATTTCAGGAAATTTCTAGGTTTACCAGAATACACTGTTGTTCTGATTTCATTTATCAGCTTGTTCATGTCAGGTTAACAGATGGAGACATTGTCATTTTAGGATAATAAGAACTTGATAGCTCATCAAAGGTACACCAGTGATATTTTTGTTTGAAATCCTAATTTCTGTATTTTACATCTATTCAAACTAAGTTCAATATTTTCTTCTCGATACTACATTCCTACAGCTTCTTAGGATATTTGTATACTTCATAAGGTATGGATTGCATTGATTGTTTAATTAATATGATCTCGTATGTATATTATCTGTTCTAATCAAATTATTTGGTACAAAATGGTGCCTTTATTAAACGAACTTTGTCCTTTTAGGTTTTTTTAGGGAAGAAATGTTTGTATACTATATGATATTTATGTGTGAAAGTCTGTAAGCCTGGGTCATTCTGGTAGATTTAGCATTCTATTAGCATTCTCGGTGTAAAGTCTGATGTCAGCAAGTTAACATCAGTTGATGGGTTATGAATGCCTGGAGGCAATGAAAGACAAGAATTGAAGCAATTCCCAAAGGCCATGTTGACTGTTTACTTCCTTTCTGTCTGTCCAGCCTTTAACTAGACAGTAGGAAGTCTTGATTACCATTTGACAATTCAGAAGAAATTATGAGGAAAGGGAGGAAATGGAATTTTTGACCACCCCCCCCCCCAATTTGTGTAGAATGACCTTTCACAATGCTTATGATTTTCATTAAAATAACAGTGCTTCTTGGGGAATATGTTGATGGGCACTTTGGAAGAACTCTGGTGACCACAATAGGATGACCAATATATGACAAATCATATATTATACAACAATTAACAGGGATATAAGGAAAAAAAATACATTTACAAGTTAAAATAAATAATAGTGTTTCACTGTTCTTTGGTTACATGACACTTAGTGTCCTGAGTTGTGCCAGGTTTGTTGATCTCTAAGCATTTTCAAGTAACTACGTTTCAGAGTCTACATTGAATCTTGGGGCATTAGGTATAAATCATCTAATAATATTTTACTAAAACATTTGTTCTGATATCTAAAAATAGGATAAATTTTATGTGTTTGGGCTTGAATAAAATTTTATTTCTTAGGACCTTTTCCCTCTTTTTCTTGTAGTTTAATGTATCAGTGATTACTGAAAATACAAATAATCAGACACTCTGACTACCCAGTGATTGGCCTCACTTCACCAACACTGGACAGAAGAGCAGGGTGTGTCCAGCCCTTGCAGGAGTGGGCCAAGGCTGCCCGAGCTCGGCTAGATGCCACTTTTCCATTTTACTTGCTTATCTCAGTTTGTACTTGAATTTCAGTATAACTTTACTAAAAGAAAATGCGTGTAATAACCAAGCCATTAATGTGTCTGACATGATACAGGCGATATAGGCAAGCTGAAACAAATAGTCATGAGGAAAGCAGACAGGTGGTTACTGTGTCTGTGGAGTAGGGTTTAATTTTATAGTGTTTGAAGTGTATGTATCCTTGCAACAAGCTTTGTTTTATTTGTGGTAGAGATTGGCAGGGCCTAAGAATTTAAAGATTTAAGATGCATTTTTAAATTTGTGAATGGAAGAAATCTGTCTCCTGAAAGAGGATACCATGAAAAAATTTTGTGACCAGTTTTCTGCCAATTGAAGCAAGTGATAAGAATTTTCCAGCTTCACTTATAATGAAATTAGTCTGAACTTTAGAAATTTTAGTAGATTAATTAGCGGTTATCTTCCTTTTCCCTAATTATATTGTTATAAATAAATAAAAAGAAAGCAAAATGGAGAAAGTTTAGCTGACACCAAGGAGATACCCTCCAAAGATTGGCTGTTAATAAAACATGTTCATTGAGATTACACATATAATATATGTGAATTTATGTGCATTTAAACTTCCCAAGCACCTTCTGTTTTCCATAATTAATATTATCAACAAAATTGAGTAAGTAGGACCAGAATTGTCATCTTACTCTACTTTTCCTTATCACTTTTTAATATATAACCTTTTGTCTCTTATTATAGTCAAGGTAGTTGAACATAACTTCACAGTGAACATATCACTGTGAAGGTACCAAATAGGAAATGGGGTAAAGAGAGACTGAGGCAGAGTGGCTAAGGAGTCAGAGGAGGAGATATTTGAGTTCAGGTCTGAATAACAAAAAGGAATCCACCACAGCAAGGTCAGAAATCAGAACCTTCTTGGAAGAGAGAACAATCAGAAGGAAAATCTAAAGGCAGAAACCCTGTGGCATGTTGAAGAAGTGGAGGAAAGGCAGGTGTGACTTCAGCCTAATCAGTCAGAGAAAGGGTACGAGAGAGAGTGGATGAAGAGGTAGGCGGAAGTCAGTTTTAAAAAAGGAGCTAACTTTAGGAGTTTAGGGAGCTGGAGTGAGAATGTGATCCTGCCTGAGCGTAGTAGTGATCTCATTGTTGTGATACTTGTTTACAACTGTGTTCGCAGAGATGAGGTGCTCAGAAAATGTAAACTTTTTTGGCAAATAAAATTTATCTAAATTTGGTGAGAAGTATTTAAAAATTGCTTTGACATTAGGCACCAATGTGGAACTTTAGTTCCCCATGTTCTTCCTCAGTGATTTTCACAGTGTTTCAGTGTCCTACTGCTCCTCAGTTGCTTCCTAAAATAGGGGTAATGGGACTGCCAAATAGTTCAGCAATAGTGTACTTACACTGTCTGTTTATTGTGTATATTGTGTACTTAGTGAAAGTTAGATTTTGAGTATTCACAATTTTGGTAGGGGTATAAACTAGTGAAACTATTTTGAAGGGCAGTTTGACATGTATCAAACTATAGTGCACATAATCTTTGGCACAACTTTATTGCTCAAATAAATTTAAGCAAGTTTGAAATGTCTATGTTTATGTATGTGTGTACATAAAGTATTGTTTATCTGGTAAAAAAAACAACTGAAATGTAAATATTAATAATAGTAATCCATATGTATTTTAAAATGATACACAATCAGACATGCAGTATTTTTATCATACATAAAATCCAGAATCTCTTGAGAAAGTCTAAGAAAATGAACCTGCTTACAGTTTCCTCTGTGTAAACTTGTACAAATTTGCTAGAAGCCCTATACTTCAGTTTTCTTACTTCTAAAATGTGGGTAATAATCATCTACCAGCTAGGACTGGTGAGAGTCTTGGCTGCCTGGGTATGTGGAAGCTCTTAAAACAGGGTCTAACATGGAGTAGTCAGTAAGTGAAGCTACATTTTGTCATTATAATTTTCAAAGAACGCTCATAACTTTCTATCAGCTGTGTCAAATAGGAGCTCTGAACTTTTAGAGGGTGACCTTCAAGTAATTTACTTAATTACCTTAAGTAAGTCTCTCTACTTCGCTGAGGGTTAACCTTCAAATACTGATGCCTAATGGCTTATTATCCAGTCTCTGGAAAAGCTTTTTCTTTTTCTTTTTGGTGGAGGGGGGGGTCTGATTTGCAAAGTATTTGCTACTGGTAGCTTTGAATGATCCAATTTGCATGGTAAATAAGTCACAATAATTGATCCGATCATGCTGCAGCCTAGTTATTTTAGATGCCAGCTATCATTAAAATACTGTTTTCATCATGGTTAAAATGGAAACATTGACTTAGTACTGAGACATACTGGGAAAAACATTTAAAGCTTTTGACATTAAAAAAGAACTTACAGCTAATGTTAGTGTACATAGTCGTATCTTTTAGTGTACTTACATGTTTTTCACATACAAATAATTATTTTTCATGTTTTGGAAACTGGAATTCAAGAAATACCAGAGTGAATTTAATTAATGAAAAAATTTTAAATACAGTATTGCTGTAATTTTGTTATTAGAAGGACATACAGAGTTGCAGTGAAGGTTAAACAGACTTTTTTTGAACATATAACTTAACATATAATAAACATTGAATAATTGTTATATTTATTTTTACCTCAGGGAAAGTGAAAGGATAGCCTTGAGAGAATTTCTGAAAAGCTAACTTGAAAATATAAGGAGCATGGAGCTTATGTTAATCTCCATAATCGTACTACTATAGCAAAAGAGTAGCTATCTTGCAATTACAGGGAAAATGCTAGAATTTCCTTTAACATTTTGTATTTTGTGAATTTTATTAGATTAAAAAACATGTGGTAACTTAAGCTCCAGCAAGTGTCAGCTAACACTGTTTCTATGTTAATTTCTGTGTTGCTAAAGTAGCTTAACAAATTTTTTTTTAATTAATGAGAAAATGTATGTGTACACTTTAAAACCTTTTGGAACAGTAATACTAATTAAACTAGGGCTGAATCTTATTCAAGTACTATTTCTAAATCAGATCCTATAGATTTGTGGGTTAAATATCGAGGTGTTGTAAACATCAGGGTTTATTTACTCAGTGGTAGGAGTGGAGAAAAGGCCTTGGGGAGGGTATTTCCTGTACTCTTCAAAAACAGTAGTAGAAGATGTTATAGGTCATGACTTCATTCATATTAAATCTTTTCTATTATCATGAGTCAGTATTATTAAAGAAATCCAGAGCTGGACAGCTGTTAAGTGGTAAAAGGAATTCATTCAGGAACTATTACTGTGAGGAAAAGAACCTCCTGTAAGAATGGGCTCAATTCCAAATAACAGTGAAGATGGCTAGTAATTTGCAGCCAAGGAGCCAGATGGCCAATGGGGAGGGTGGCGGCCAATGGAAAATTGCTAAGCGACATCCAGGGTGGGGGCATTCTCCACAAGCTGACATCTCAGGGTCC